CAGTTTCAAGTCATACCCTGCAACCTGGCACAGATAAGGTGCAAAATGTAGAGTTCACTTTATTCCATTTATTGTGAGGTTCATATATTACTCTGAAGTAAATATATTGTTTACTGCATATATTCATGTACAACAGTTTACTGGCACCTTTATTACACATGTTTTGGTTGTAAAATATTTTAATTATTTAATTAAAATTAAAAAAAAATTGCAATACACTCCATAAAACTTTTGAGACAAAACCCTAAAATGCCTCTCGTCATTTAAAAATTGAATCCCATAAAACTTTTTTCATAACATGCATTCGAAGGACCATTTCACTTTTGTTAAGCAAAAGGTCGAGGTTAGATAACTTTAATCAGGGGTAATCCTAGAGAGGGGTGAGAAACGTCCATTGTTCTCGTCAGCGAGGCTGGCTTTTTTCAGGGTATGTACGCACAGACAGAAAACTAAGTATTGTGGGAACGTTACTAATGAAGCCACTGGTAGTACTAGTAGATATCAGCCTGTAGTCTTGAACAAGCGCCTCGATGACGAGTGAACAGTTGTCAAAAACAAAAGACCCAGGTGTGGTAGTTCAACTACTGTTCATGCGTGCCGCAACCACCGAGCCTAATTGCTCCTCAAGGTCACAAAACGATATCCGGTACTGACGGCCAGGCTCATCTTAATCATATAAGTAGCGCGTTTCCACCCCCTGCTTTAATGACATAACAATGCACTTTGGACGGCAGGTGCAATAAGTGGATTGACTTTGATAATAGCCAAAGAATAAAAACATTTGAATTATTATTGATATTTCACACAATTACCTTACCTCTTAACTTATTTAGAGGCGACGAGAAGGGCCGCAATCTCATGCACTTTCTAATTAGCGATGCCATCGCCATCGTTTCGTTGCTGACGGCCAATGCACTTTTAGTTTTTCTTCAAAGAGACTCCATTTACAAAAGAGTTCCACTTCCGCTTGGACAGAAAATGTGGAAGTGAAAAATGTTCAGTTAAAGTTATCTGTTTCAAAGCCCCCGAGTTTGCCCTTAGCTGAAAACTAAGACGCCAGGAAAAGGTTTTCTATTATTTTTACCTTTGTACAATTTAACTTTATCGATCCAGATGCGACTCAACGAAAGGAATTTAGTGTCATATGCGACCTGTAACTCGCCTGTTGATAAGGAAGGATATTTGATGAAGAAAGGAGAAATCAACAAAGGGTTTCAGAAACGATGGTTTGTGCTAAAAGGCAACCTACTATTTTATTTTGAGAAGAAAGGAGACCGAGAACCTGTCGGTTTAATTATTCTTGAAGGCTGTACAGTTGAATTATCTCCAGAATTTTCGGACACGTTTACCTTCGGTATTTCTTTCCAAGGCCCAGGTTGCAGGACTTACGTGCTACAGGCAGAGAGTCAGGAAGAGATGGAGAGTTGGATGAAAGCAATCACAAGTGCAGGGTATGAATACATGAAACTGATGGTGGCTGAACTAAACAGACAGCTGGAAGAATTAAATAGGATTCCAGATGCTTCGTCTTTAGAGGTGATACCTAAACGCTCGTCAGCTCCTGCAGTGGCTGTCGGCTCGCTAATAGATTTTGGTGGAGAAAATAACCAAGCAGCAGCATCAAACTATGAAACTGCATCAGCTAAAAGGTTTAATCCGTTCAATCAAGAGTTATCCCCAGTGGATGAATTTGGTGCACGACCTTTTAACCCAGCCTCGGAATTTTTGTCCAAGTCAAAAGACAGGTCTGATTCAGCTCCCATTGCCCCACCTAGAAAACCCAGAGCTGTGACTACAAGTGAGTTCCATGTACCAATGCCACTGACGAGTAACGACATAAGCAGGCCAAAGACTGATGTTTATTTAAAACGACCCAGAACATTCTTGGAAATGCATGAAGAATTTGGAAGACAAATTCAATCACGAATACACAGATCAATGCATTCTTCAGCTAGTGGTAGTTAAATCAAGTAAAAGAAACATAACCAATTGATAAGTTATAGTTTGTGTTTTTCATTAAATATCTCTGGCAAGTTCTCTGCATGTGACTTTACATATCTGAAGGCACAACCTTATCTGCACCTATCATCATTGCTATTGTCACCATGCACTTTTTACTGCAAACAGTAAATGGATAACAGTGTGACTTATTATCCTCCTCCAACTTACTGGAGTAAATCATACCAACAAACTACAGATCCAATTTTAATAGCAGCTTCATTGACCAATTTTTTCTCAATTTTATACAGTATATTATTATTATCTTTATTTTTTGTAAATTTTTCATTTTTTCACACATACAGTAGGTACTTTTAAGGTGTGACTTAAAACTTCCATTGGACTGCTAGTTGGATTTTCTGAATATCCAGGGTAACAGAAGTACATCATTTAAAAAATTGCAGGTACATTTTATCATGCTGTTAAGTGTTATGTAATATAATAATAAAATTGACCAAAAATAAATCTTGTGCGCGTTCAGTTAACACCATATATATAGAAAGTCTAACAAAATATAAAGACCCCAAAAAAATATTTGTCAAAGATTTTATAAAATAAAAAGCAAATGTTGCTTTTTTGAAAAATAGATTGCTATTCATTTTAGAGACTGTAAACCCGTTTAATTAATATCAATTAAGAATTTGATCAGTAAAATTAGTCATGGGCCGAACAGGATGGGCCCTGACTAAATGACTGGTCACTATCATTGTTATCCCAGCAAAAGTCTTATCTGGTGCTCCTGAAAAAATTTAATTAACAATTTATTCTATATACTGTATTCTTTGGGCATGAAAAGACAGGTATTCGAAATGATACGAAATGATATTTATAGTTAGTGTAAAGAGTTATAAAAGAGAAATTATGTATCATCTAACATTTAGTTCTACAACAATGCTTAAATTACAATTTTATACATTTTCCCGAAAATAAAGACAACTCGTTGCACGTTAGCAATAACCATCCCATGTTTTCAAATTAGTTTGTCTCGGTTAAGTTTTTTCGGTGCACCTTTTCTTAGCAACATATATAAGGACCTGCATACTTTGGGGAGGGGGGGGGATACGTACGTGAGTGCGTTAATTTTAAAGGCGCCTCAGTCATGATTGAAAACAGACAGCTGAACCAAGACTGACCGGATAATAATCAGCCCTGGTGGAGAGTTTGAAAACTATACTTGACCCAGTTAAAATATTTCAGACATGCAATGCGATTAGCAGCTGGAAGAGAGCAGGGTCTCAGTCCGCTGGGGTTTGCCTCCTTTTGTGCTCCACCAACACTGGAAAAAAATTAAGAGTTTTTTCAACCTTGAGCATTGAAAATATTTCGTTTTAGTTTGTTTGAGATGGATATTGGAGCAAAGTTTGATGATTCTTTGTTTGAAGTCGCTGACGAGTCAAGACTTCAAAAAGTGATTGAAGATGAAAAGAATTGCTGTATTCGGGAGCCACTTGTAAGTGTTTATCAGATTATAAATATGTCTCTACCAAATCTTGCATTGTACATTGTACAAGGCAGACTGCTTAAAACTACTCATGACACCTGCGTCTTGATTAATACCTACTTCAGATCAGCGGGAAAGATCTACTGAAATACATCTTCCATATGTTTCTCATCATCTCTACTCATTACTTGGGGCTAATTTAAATTATCGGTCTACGTATATCGATCTAACTGTGTGGGGACTCTTGCTGAATGCAATCAGTTTAACAGATTAACACTAAAGTTCACCCTTCTTCATGAAGGCACTTTCCTGTTGTGCTAGTACTTCAGTATACTGAGTAGTTTTCACTGAGTGCTTATGTTACCTAGCAGTATTAAGGTGTTCAGTTTTACCTGATGACACTCTACCACCAGGTTACAGTATATAAACCCTCCACTACTCTGCTCACTTCACTTCTACCATCCATTGGACACACAAGACAGGAACAGCCTAGTGTGTTGATCTATTCTGCTGTCATCAGATTCTACTGACTACTACATGTACTGTAGTACATATTCTGAGCACAGCAACAGAGAGGTATTTCTTGGGTTTAGAATAAAAATATTAATAAATGATTAATCTAACTATCTAGTTGTTTTTGATACACTACAGAAACACCTTTTCCAATGCATTCTTGTAACCACCAGGTTTTCTGTATTTTACTCAACGGCAGGATTGGTGGCATGTTAGTCCGTTAAACATAAAACATACATGTACTATTGTATGTCCTAGGTTAAACTGACTGGATTCATTGGGAGTCCCCACAGCATTTGGGTGGATCTGTGTAGATCAATAGTTTCAATGGGAATGACCCCTTAAATTCAGGGGTCTTATCAGTGTCTGGTCAGGATTTTATGGTGATACACACTTTTGAAAATATAATGAAAATATATTTTATCAGTATGATACAGACTTGATGTAAGTAGGTATTTGCTGACTTATTTAAAAATAAGATGATGATAAGATTTTCAACTTGAACTTGTTTTATATGCAGTGGTTTGTAGATGCAGATCCAGAGGGGTTGGACAAAGATCAAGAGCAGATGCAGTTGTACAAGTCCCAGGGAGACTGGTTGTATTACAACAAAGACCATGAAGGAGCAGCAAGGAAATACCAACAAGCCTTAGGTATTACATGGAATAGTGTCTGATGAATTTATGATTGTCAAGTATATCAAAAAATGAACAGCTTGAAAGTTCTTGTGTATAAATTAAAACATTTTGCAGGTCTGCTGTAGTAATTGTAAATGATGCATTTTGGCAATATCAATTTATTTAATGCCATGCGCATATTTTTATTACTTATACAGGTATACTTTGAACATTGTATGAGTTATGGTTGATTTTGTATTTTGAACTCTATATTTTGTCCTAACATCACCATAAGCCCATGCTTATTTGCCAGTCTAAGTTTGTTATGTTTCAGAATATAGTAACTTCTGTGTTTTTGTTTGTAAGCACAGACAATGAGCAATTTAAGAGTCTGGACATGGACAACTCTGTACACAACTTATTGTTATTACCATTTTGCTTTAATTTTTTTAATTCAATAGGTATCTTGCCTAAGGGCAATGCAACTGTTAAGCGTGACCTCTTAGAGTGTATATCATGTTGTCATATTGCTTTGGGGCATGAGAATGAAGCTCTGAAGTATGCACACTTGTTGGTAAGTATTCATGTACATGGTTTTACTCACCTTTGATAAGAACAGTGAAAATAAAATGTAGCTGCCTAGTGAAACTTTTCTGCTTGTATTTGTATCCCTTCAGCTTTATAACTTTTTATAGTCAGGCATCCAACATTAATAGTGAACAATCATATCAGTACAAGATTAACACGTACCAAACTTACTTGTGTCCATGCAATTGTGCTTGTCTTTTTCTCTAGAGAGATGAAGGGACCAATTTTGAGCAGCAAACAGTTATTTTGAATCTTTTGAAATCAATTCACCATCAGTTTGGAAAAACATCTGGTAATGTATATTATGCAAAACTTAAAAATGATGATTAAAAGCTTTTTCACGTAGATCTTTATATTGTAGCATTCCATTGGCAGTATATTGTGAGAGATTGGCAACTAAGTTGCCCAGCTATTTATGTAAGAAAATCGACTAAAGGGAGGCCTCACTGCTCTACAGTTAACTTTGTTTGGAATGTACACTGCATATTGAACCCTAAGATGTAATGCACAGTATGAAAAGGTAATAACCTTTTTTGAACAGTACAATTAAGGGCTCTCTCTCTTTAGGTGAACTTATTGTCTTGGAAAAACTCCTGAGTCTTCATCCATACAACCATCATCTTTGGATAGAGTTGGCTGAGGTCTTCAGAATCAAACAGTCTCAAGAAAGTGAAAGTGAAAGTGACAGTTTAAAATTGGCAGCAGGAAACAAAAATGAGGCATGTGTCTGTCACAACCAGTTCAACTCAGAAACTGCTGAAAGGAGCATTAGTGAGAGAGGTGCCTCAGACATTACTTCTAATGTTTTGACAGAAACAGTTGGCAGTGGCTTATCATTACAGGTGGAGGGAAGATGTATACACTGCCCCCTGTGTTTAGGAATTATCATAACAAAAAACAGGTCTGCTACAATGAAAGTCAGCAAAGACATAATTCCAGAAGTGGCAAAATTTCATAATACAAACTATTGCACAAGCTGTTTTTCTTCTGGTGATCAAGGGATTTGTGAGTGTAAATGTTTTTGTAACCTCACAAAATGTCTGCTGCCAAGTGTGAAGACTGACCTGGTCATAGCTGTTTGCCTTATCAGAGCCAGGTATGAAACTTGCTATTAGAGAGTTTCAGCATATATAGTGTTAAACATGTATTTTTTGTGGTTGTTCAAATGTGGAGTAGACAGCTTACATGTTTGAGAACAACCAGAGTTTTTAACTGCTCTTTTATAATTTAGGATTTATTGGCTTAATTTTTTACAACTCATATTTGTAGCAAGATTAATCATTTGAGGAAATACAGTATAAAGCTTCTTTTACATGTGTGAAATGCAGGCTTTTCTCTAAACTCCTCAATGAAATACAAATATTTCTTACAAAATTATTCTAAATCACTGAATTCTCCACAAATGGTAAAAATAAGTATTAATCTATTTCTCTTATCCTTAAAATGATTCTAAGAAATGAATAAGATTATAACTTTTTGTGTGCTTTCAGTACAACTCTTCATACATGTTTTTTTTATTGACGACAGTGCCTACATTTGTAGCATGTTGAAGAGAAATTAAATATGTTGTGCAAAATTTCCCAAAACATTGTTGACAATTTTGACAGTGTCTTTACTGACCAAATATTTGAAATACTGGGACTATGCTTTAAAAAGTGAGCGGCAACCACTGAGATACTAGATATCTGCAAGTCTCAGCAATAAACCAAGTTAGTGAACTTTCGATTAAAGATGCATCATCTCACAAATATATTTCAGATTGCTTTTGCAAAGTGTACAGACCGCTGTTGCCTCATTTGGAAAAGAGAAACACAAGGAACTTTTGGTAGAGGTAATTAATTGTTGTAGATTTCATGTCTTTTTACCCATCTTTCATAATTAAATTTTATATTTTTACCACCTAGAGATGTTTTCGTTCCTTGTCATTGTGATATTTCCATATATTGATTTATTTATTTACCTATATTTCAGATATGTCAGAAATTGAAATCATTAGATGTTTCACAGGAACAAATGGATTATGCAGTGAAAGTAAGACATTTCTTATTAAACATCAGTTTTTGCCATGATAAACTGAAGAAAAACTGATTTATTACTTGTTTGAAATGAACAGTTTGGAAACTTCTACACAGAACTTTTCAGCAATTGCCTTTCCTTATTTAACATTTATCTTTTTGCAAAAAAAATTGACTTGAATTTAATGTAAAGAATACTGAAAGGATTTAATTTAACGCTTTTTTGAACAGTTCCTAAGCCAGGATGTGTACAAGAAAGAGAAAGAGGAGTGTAAACCCCTAGAAGACAGTAAACAGTCCATTCTGATCTTAGATACAGATCCAATACAGTGTGCAAGGGACTTCAACCACACTTGGTTTTTATGGCTCAAACAGAAATGAACATTGGCAGTCTAGTTTTACTTGAAGTAAATGAGGTGTGGTATTCTTTGACCTTGTGCTTATTAATACCACTCTAGCAGTTCAGTTATTAGAAGTGTTATAGGGCTCAAACTATGTCAGAAAATGTGTATGATGAAGGCACATTGATATGTACTTTCTACACTTTAGTTAAAGTTATTTCTTCCTTCTATTGGACTTAAAGATACTTGGGAATTAACTGTTGAAATTTTAACAGTGATGGATATTTTTATTGGAAATTTTTATCACTTAATTTGATCTAGTGGTATATTGCCTGATTTACAAGCCAAAAATGTGATATCAATAATATATAAGCTGCTTTGCATAAGACTGATTGAAACTGTTATTTTTCGTGTATTCAGATATTGTAAAAATCGGACTCGTACTTCAGTCCATTCTCACATACCCTCACGCATCGTGACTTACCTAATCAATATAACAAGATGGTAAGAATTTAAAAAATTTAAATTATTTTTGAGGCAAAACTTGACTAAGAAGTGCTTCTGGTATACCTGCACATTTGAAAATGTCACAGTGCTTGAAATATCTATTTGCTCATTCATAACTGTCTCAGACAAGGAACTGTTTCTTTGGGAATACTGCCAAACCTGTTTCCATAGATGTGACATTTTTTTCTTTTTTTTTTTGGTTTTGATCTTTGATCTTTTTCTCCTTTCATGCGAGGCGTCTTAGCCGGTACTTTGTCAAAAATCAATGGCAAAATGATAAAAAATTTAGAGTAAATGTAGTCAACTAGTATCTGATTAATGTGTTAGCACAGCCATTAAAGCATCTCCCTTTTTGTAAATGAAATCATTATAAGTTTGCTGCGTTTAGTTAACCACTTTAGTGTACACAATGTCTTAATCTAAATTGCCAGCCACTTGAGCTAACTCAAGATAATTCCTTGCTCAGGGTTGAGTACAGACTAATGGAATTAGACTATTTGATAATTTGTAAAAAGAAAATACAATAACTAATTTCTTCATCCATGTGTACTGTGAACTCGTCCTCATACTCTTCATCTCCTCTCTTCTCATGCAGGTGAGTGTAGAACACTTCCAACCTGTCCTCTAGGTTTTTGGGGAATACTTGGCTTTCCAAAGTCTTTGCTCTTAAAGACGGTCCTTGCAAGAGGTACTTTAGCTGCAAAAGCTTTACTTGTTGAAGCAGCTCTTGTGCTGTGTGATTTGAAAATATTTATATCTATTCCAGCTTTAAACATGACTGCCTTAATCCACCTTGAAATTGTATCTTTACTAACAGGTGCATAAGGTCTAGTGTAACTAATAAACAACTGTGAACAGCCAGAATGCCTAAGCAATCTAGTTCTATCTAAATATTCTGCTAAAGCAGACAACACACAAATTTGACTATTGTCAGCAAAAAAATTCACATGAATAACAGGCTGATTTTTTGATGGCCTAGATTGTTTTACAATTTTATCTATAACAAAACTGACACCACCAGGTGATTTGTACATTGAATCTAAATCCATCAAGTGTATAGATTGACATCTTTGTCCTTACACTAAAGCGAGCAGCATGGCCAATTTTAGTGTTAATTCTTTCAATAGTTTCATGTTTTTCAGATAATTCAAAACAATGTTTGTATCCCAGGTTGTCTGATATCTTGGTCGATTGTGAAACACACCTTTTATGAACCTTTTAATAACCAAGCTATTGCCAATATTTGAGTTATCATCCAATTTAACAAATGATGCCAGGGCAGATCTGGCAGTACAAATGGCACTGTAGTGTAATCCAGTAAGAAAATTCAAAACATGTGACACATTTGATCGAATGGGATCTAGATATTTTGCACTTGTGTAAGTAATTCACTTTTTGATATAGGTGCCAGATTGTTTGTGTGTGCCCGATCACCATGATTGTATAACAATTTCTTGAGCTTTTCCTGATATGCCTGCTTCCTGCATGCGTTTCCTGTCACTTTACATGCTATCAGTTTTAGTTTGTTTGCTAGTGAATGTTGATGTCCTTCCTGGTGTGGCAGGCTGAGTATCTTCTTTGTAGGTGGCAACAACACTGGCTCTGTGCACAACAGATGAAGCACAGTGCTGTGTTGGCCATAAAGGTGCAATGATCAGCACATCTGCCTGCATGGTCCTTTCGAATTTTCTGCAACACTTTCTGCATCAAACTGAAAGGAGGAAAAGCATAATGTAAGTTACATGACGAGGATTGTTGAAATGCACGATTTCGTGCATTTATTGCGATAAACTTGTATTAATGGGTATTTAACCACATATCACTGTATTAACAGCATGTAAGCAGACATGCTTAAGCGCTTAAAAAGCTCAAAACATTGCAGAAATATTAATTTCATGCAGCTTGTAAATCCGTGTTCACTTTGCTGAGAAACGGCGCAATGAATGACGCTGAGCTGCGCACACATCTCTGTCATGTGGAGCCTATTACGTCACTAGACGGTGATGAGGAATTTTTAGTCTTGTGATTCAACCTTGAAGCAAACAAACCTAATGAAGGCTCACCAAAATACTTGGCCAATTTACAAGACACATCTGAATCAAGTGACCATTCTGTCCTGTCATTAAAGGTTCTACTGTGTTTATCTGCTAAAATATTTGTCACACCAGGTGTACGAGTACACTGCAGGCTGCCTTAAACACTTGGTTTATTTCTGGGCGAATAACTTCCTTTCTCCACTTATGGATATCATGCACAGTTCCAGCCAAAAGTGATACAGAATCAGACTGGATTCAAAACGTCTTCAATGTCAGGAAATACTGCATTATTATTCTCTAAAGATTTCAGTAGATTGTCTGCCAGCTGAACCAGGGGAATGATGCCCTTTTGGATTCCATGTAAAATTCTCTGCAATCTAACATCCCCAGTTTTCGATTCAGTGGAAATAATGTTCCAAATTTCTGGGTTAACCGTAACAGGGCCCAGCATAAAACAGTTTTCTGGTCTTACTATGTTCTCTGTCATTTCTGTAAAAGTTGAATCTTTCATGCCTTGACTAGCATAGCTGTTGACTTTAACTGCTAAGAGCAGTTCATCAATGCTAGGAGCCAAATGTTCATCATTAACTAAGCCTTTTCCCAAGTTATCCAGGAAATCTGCCCTGCCTTTTTTAAGTGGTGGCTTATCATCTTCATCGTTCTCACCCTCCTACAAATTGTCATCCTCGGCTCTGTTTCTGGGACTTTCTCACATTAGCAGTGTCCCCTGTGCCCCTGTCATGATCGGCACACTCACTGAACTGAGCAGCATTCAGATGTAAGTTCAAATTACCTGGCCTCATCATAGGCACTTTTCAGTTCTTTAACTTGAGCAAAAATTCTGCCATCATTGCAGACAATGCTTCTAAGGGAGAAACGCAATGACCTCTGGGATCGCGCAATGCTCTCTTGTATAATCGCGGTTAACCATTGTGCCGTAGTAGAATTGATCTGGTCCATTACAACCCACCTGTCACAACCAGCCCCATTCTACTCTACAAATGAGTATTATACAGAAGACAACATTTTAATTGAGATTTTAATTTGCTTTATTTTCATTATTTACCTTAAAGGTAGTTTCTTATTACTGGAACATTAGCACAACATTTTATATTGATACTCAATTTACAGACCCTTAGATAAGTGATATCTTACAAATCATTGCCATAGTTCCAACTTTCAAGATTTGATAATTAAGACATTATGTATTATTGAAGTTAAAAATAAATGTTGTTCCATTCAATCTCATTTCTTTTGTTTTGCCTTTCTTCAATTTAATGCTTTGAAGATGACAACAAAACAGATGCATCATAACTTACAAGATAACTGAAGATTACTCTGTCATTATCTGAATGAAGTTTAAGAGACCCATACAACAGCAAAAAGAAATCATTTTAATGATAGCACCACAAAATTGCCACTATTTTTAAAGAAATGGTAATATTGCAAGTGGAATACTTTCCATGCCAAATGAAACTAACACATAATTGGTCAAGACAATAAACGCCATAATATTTGTCACAGAAGTCTTACATCATACTGATATACTCGCACCTTATAAAACGACAGTTTACATCTTCAGAGAAGCTATATTAAATCCATTTCCTTTGTGTTTACTGACAAGTTCTAATAAAGCCTGTTTCTTTTGCAAAGCCTGTGAGGATTCCAGTTCATAAAGAGTGCAAAGATTGAAGAGAACACCCTCCTGTAATGTGGTGCTGGGGTCTTTATGGAGAAGGTTTTCCAAGATGGCAATTGCAGCTTTTAATTTTCCTGTGTATAATGAGCACACAGCCATGTTGTTGATAGCCTAGAAGAATGAACAGAAAAGGAGAAAAATAAGATATCACCACAAAAAATTATATAAAAATGAGCAATAGCTGTTTATTAAAAATAATGCAATTATATTTTTATCAAAGCCTTTATCACTATGCTAATATACATTTGTACATGTACCCTTATGTCAATGTATGTAAACTATAGTATGTAACATTAAAAAAAAAACTAACCAAAGCATTGGTTGGGTCAATATCAGACACTTGTTTAAAGCAGTCCTGGCCCAATTCAAAGTTGCTCTCTGCTAGGGCCATAAATCCCCTGAAAGAAATTATGAAAATAAAAAGTTGAAAAAATTGCAACACAATCCCTTTTAATGCAATTTTAAAAAATGCAACTGAAAATGACTAGGGATCCAAATATCAATTACCTGTGATGCCTGTGGAGTACAACTAGGAAGCCAATCTACATGTTGCAAACTTGGTCTGAAGACCTTTAAATAATAATATTATACATACTGGTAATGGGTACTTACCTATTCATTAGTACTCTACTTTGTCCTTGGGGATCAGATGAACTAACTTGGTCTTCCACTTGTTTAAAGTATGCTGAAGCTTGGGGTATGTCTCCCATCTAAAAGACAAGTATTTTTTTCTGGATTATTATATTTCAGATTATATATGAAGCCTAGACTTCAATAAAGTAGACAGGCCAAAGGATAAACCTAATTAATCACCCTGTAAATCAGAAAATAGCTGTAAAGCGGCACATTTTTTCAAATTTCTAGTCAGAAACTTGATGCATTGATCCTTTCCTCCAGTTCATGAAAGTCTTCAGAATTACATAAGTCAAATAGTTGTGTATGACACATAACTGTTGCCCATGCAATAGCATAAATATTTAAATGACTGTTGGAAACAGCCAAGAGTTATATTTATAACACAGAAAGAGGACAGAAAATATGTTCCAACAGCATATTTTGGGAAGTATGAGAAAATACCCTTTGCTGGGGTAGCGCTAGCAATTTTTATCGCTTAGCCAAATCACAACTTTTTTGTAAATTTGTTATCAAAATGGTTATAATTTGACTAAAAGAAGTCAAATCTAGCCCTTTTTCTTTAGCCAATTTAAGAAAGTTTTAGCATTTGGCTAAATTGGCGAGTGTTAGCGCTACCCCAGCTTTGGTTTTTCTTAAAGCAATGCTATTTGAAACTACATATAATGGCATTTGTCAGGTTTGTAGCAAACACTTGACTTCAAGTGTAACTTTAAGATTCAAAATCCCACAAGAATTCTTATACATCCTTCTGGAATATCTCATTACCAAGGCTAAACCCCAATCCTAATATGACAAGCTCAAGACAGAAGCAAACCCATATCGCAATATGGCATAAGTGAGATTACTAAGCAGAAATGTGATTACTAAAATATATACAAGGTATTAGTAAAGCTGAAAGATATGATGTAACAGTGTGTTAGGTGTGACAACATGTGAATAGTGTCTCTTAGTAAAGGCTGTTAACAGTGACTCCTGCCAAACCTGTAAATGGATTCTTCCCAAGCCTGTGAGCAAGGCCACTTTGTTCTTCTTGTCCTTCACTAGCAGGGATCTGTAAGCTTCTAATGCAGCTATGTAATCCTGTAAAACATACATTTACTGATAAACACCCATTTACATATCATTCTACAATGATGTCCTTTCTAGAGTTATGGTCATGTGATAATTAAGCAAAAAGCTATGGTCTTAAGACACTTTCTATTAATTTCTTTGAACAGTGTGGATTAACAAGTGGAAGCAAAACAAACATTTTCTTAAATTAGAAGCAAACATACCTTAATTCCAAGCAAGCAATTGGCAATAGCATATAGCAACTGGATCTCTCTGCTCTCCCATAATTCTCTAGATGCTAAAAAAACAATAAATCAACGAGAACTGCTTCACTGTAATTAATTGATTTTAGTGTTTGTGTTTTAAATGCTATCTATTGAATACAAAGGTGCAAATAATTTTATAATTTTCCTAATATACCTCGAATTGGGAGCAAAATTAATTGTTATGTTTTATAATGATATTTTATGTTGGCCGTAAAGAGTCACCCATGCACAAGGCATCTGGTTGAACTTTGAAGGAAAGACTTACTGGCACCATTCCTATATTAAGTAGTGTTGACATGGCATACTTAATGAAGGTAGCAGGTACATACTGCTTAATTATGTAGTGCAATAAAACAACTTTAACTTCTCTCTTGGATTTTATTTAGTAATACCAGTTTATACCTGCATCAATTATTTGCTGCAAAAAATTTTTGAATAGCACAATAGAACACTTCACACAGTCATGTGAACAAACAGTGACATTACAAAATATTATTAGATTGTGAAAAAGTGCTCACCTTGTCTACTTTCATTGGTCAGTTCCACCATGCTTCCATCCTCTTCTAGTCCACTCTCAAGATTTGATAAAATCTACAAGTAAAGAAATAACTTGTTTTTCCTACACATCCAGGGTAGCAAACATCCAACTATCTGTCAAGCATGCAATAAAATAATATCTGAAATGACTGCATTGTATTTATACAGCAGTAACTTGAGTAATACCATTTGTTTTCTTCAGATAATTATATTTTGAGGCAATCGACCATGGTCATTGTTAAGCTGTACCTTAGTGGTCACTGCATGTAGATAATACAACCTATCTAAGGTTTCTTGNCGGCGACGGCGACGGCGACGGCAGACGCAGGTGATGGCAATATGTACAGACACATCTGTGTCTGTACATAATAAGAAAAGTAACTTTAGAGAAAAACTAAATAGTGTGTTGATCATTTATTTAAAGAATTTCTATATGAAACTAACCCACAACAGAATTATTAATATTACATAGTATGGTAAAATACAAACTTTTTGTAAACAGGGTATCACAAAGAATCACAAAATTACCTTTTCTGCCTTTATATACATCTGGATAATAATTGTAGTACAGATCAGGTTTGTCCAAGGTTCCAAATGCCTGAAGCTCAGACTCCACCAAACTGTACATCTTCAACTTCATCATCAAAGCTATACGCGTAAACCATATCTTGAATGAAAAAAAGGCTTCTAAAAAGACTAGAGTCTAAACAAATTTGAGATATCTGCAATTAGTAAAAACATGATTTTTCACCTTACAAGTCTAAGACTATCTATTGTATCCTGGAAGATGGCTTAAAGAGAAATCTGCATAAAATCGCTTCGTAACGACTCCAATTTCCTAGAGGTATTTAATAAAATCAGAACAAAACCTTTTTTTGCAGAAAGCATACCTACCTGCAAACTCCAAGGTGTATTATTAGAAATCTGTCCAGCACTTCCCATGCCTTGTCCATGTTCTCTTAGTATCTTTCCAGTCAGGTCAATGGCAGCACGGTGACACTCTGCTTTCTGATTCAAAAACAATAATACGACATATCTTTGATGTAATCATCCCAGTTATACACATAAATAATTAATGCCTTGACTTTTTCATTCCATCTGGTTTAACACAAGCTGACCACAACATACTTGACAAAAATTTTTATGTCTAAAAATCTGGGCAAATTTACAGCAATGTCATATGTATTTCTGTTTTAATTCTTCAATTATATTGCCATAAAAAGAATATTGCAGTTTTGAAATACTCAACCTGAAAAAGCGACAACCCCCCTTCCTCCCACATGCACATTCACAAGCACACGACTAAACAAAATCTTACAATAAGCTGTCTGAGACCCTCATCATTAGGTGGCACACTGTCTGCTGTGAGGGTCTGCCTCTTGCTGGCTTCTACATCTCCCATATATCTGTATACCAGGTCCTTCACTGGGTCACCCTGAGATATATGAAGTAATCAACTTGATCAAATACAATAATTGCAATACCCATATCTTCATGATAAAGCAATTGACGTGCAATCATTAGCTTTTCCCAATCTAAATATTACCAAGCCTTGCAAAACTGCTGCTATGTGTATTCTGATATCTGTTATAATATTAAAACGCCTGAAGATGGGTTCAGGCTTAAAGCACTATTTTCAGGAAATTCAAAATTGCAACCATCAATGTGTATACCTGCAAGTCATCATACAACAGTCCTGGGCAAGTCAACTGCTCTGCACTGGGGAAGAATGTCCCTGGGGCACTGGTCACCTTAGCTATCAGTACCTGTCTTGTAGCCTCTGATGGAATCCATGCATCATAACTCCTGTCTACATTATCCATTCCAACAGAAAACATGTCATCAGTGGGAGCAGCCATAGGTAGTGGTGGGGTGGTCTGTTCAAACTGGGGTAAAGGGGGTGTGGTAGGCAGAGGGAATTGTGTTGTTGTTGTTGTGGGTGTTGTGGTAGTTGAGGTATCAACTGTTATTTCTGTTGCAGTTGTGGCAGCAACTGATGTGGATTGTGGCACAGCAGGCAAAGGAACACCACGAATCTGAAATGGATAAAATGTTTGTGAGCTTTTTTCATTCCATAAATGTAATTTTCAAATTTAAATTAAAATTACAAAGAAATAAAATTTTATAATAATATGATATATTTAAAAATGCAATGTCATTTTTAATATCTACAAGAGAAATACAAACTTAAGTCAAACGCCTCTGCCTAATATAAAAAACTGCATTCTTTCAAATGAACTCACTTCTTGGTCTACTTTAGGCTTCTCCTCATGTGTTGCCTCTTTTAAAGCCCCTATTTCTGTAAGGACTTGTTCTCTCTTCCCAACCCTAGACTCTAACTTTCCAGTGTTCGCAGTATCCTCTCCTCCATTTTCAACTTGGGTTTTCTCTGACGTATCTGGAATGAATCCGCTATCATCAGCACTTGTTGGAGGAAGAGAGTCAAAAAACTCAGCACCAGAATTATCCTGGGAGTGAGCAAAGTACTGTGCAAGAGATGGAGCAGAGTCTTTGTCGTTTTCTGATATCTCTGTCCCTGCAGTCTGGTCCTCTGTCAGTTCTGGCTCTGGTTCAACAGCAGACTGGTCCAAGGACAGTTCCTCCATACTCTGTGCAAGAGCTGATTTCCCCGACAAGGGACCATCATTAGCAGTGTCCAGTTCTTGGCCAACTTGCTCTGAAAGCATTTCTTCTTTCATTTTCATTGATTTATGGTCTCCCTCCTCCACCCCAGACCCAAGAATATCCACCTCCTCTACATCTGGAGACAGAAGATCTACACTATCTAAGTTTCCAGTGGTTGTGTGGCTTGATTCTGTGCTAGATGTGCGAGCCATTGGATTAACCTCGACCGTCTCTGTGCTGGCAGGGAGCTCTGCATGAATGTCTGGGTTGTCACTGACTGGCTCCATCGCTGCCGATGCAGATTCTTCTCCTGCTTCCTCCATTACCAATTAAAAGATGAACGACACTTGATTACAACTACTAAACACTATCTATAGAAATGTTTAAACCAAACAAAATAACATGATTTATCAAGGGTTTCTCCCCTCAACTTTTGCACTGTGCCGTCAATGGGTACCTTTCTTGTTGTATTGGAAGTAGGTACTTGTAGGTTGTCGTGAAAAATGGAGGACGACGCACCGGTTATATATGGGCTTGAGTTTCAGGTAAGGTTTACGCATAAGATAAATTTTTTGATAATCGATTATTGTGGCAGTTCTATCTGCAAATATTTTGTAGCCGAAAACATCAAGATTATCGTAGCTTTATATAAATAAATGACACACTCCCCCTAAGAGTCTAGTAGTAATAAGCAAAAAACTGTAACAGTAATTAACATTTTAATGTAATGATACAGATATTATTGGCACTTAATCTTCAGGCCCGCGCTTTGACAGCTCAAACAGCAGAAACAGATGAGATACGCTTTCTGGTTGGCACACAGTCACTTAAGTTTGAGAACCAGGTACAGTACATGCATCCGTTCCTCACTCCCCTCCCCTCTACTCTATCCTTCCCTCTCCCCCCCCCCCCCCCCCCCCATTCTCTCTCTCTCTCTCTCTTCCACACATGCACACTGCTCACATGCACATATGCACACACAAATGGAACTCCTGCACATTGTTCAGTACATGTACACTGTATGCATCGGAACAGTCTAAAAGATGTTTGATATAATGAAAACATTTTTTGTTTTAAATGTTTTGATTTATTTTCAGGTCCATCAGATTGATTTTGATGATGAAAATAATATGATCAATAAAAATGTTTTTCTCCACAAAGAGGGTGAAATTTGGCACATAAGTGCTTCATCAACAGACAAGAACATCTTTGCCACTTGCTACAATAAAAGTAGGTATTATATACTTTATGGGCAACCTTACTTTGTACTTATCATGTAATCAGTGCATTGTTGAAGCAAATTGGGCTGACTGAGGTAATTCTAAAGAACAAATGAAAGGTTTTACCTAATGAAGTTATCTAAGATTGAAATTTATGATATAATCTCTGACTTACAACTGAATGTTAACGCAAAGGGTATACAGGCATATTTATGCACCATCTTTTATAAGCATTTTTTTTTTTTTGCAAAATAAATGTAAATCAATAACCATGTAATAGGTATAACTCTTACCACATTTGTTTGAATTTCATGTAGCATCAGATGCCAAGGCTGAGATGGAAGCTGCATTATGGCGTATTCCTGAGTTTGATGCCAGTCTGGGAGAAGATAGCTCACCAACCCACAAGGAACTGGAATTACTTTGTAAGCTAGATACTACAGACTATGGAGAAATGAAAGGGTGAGTAATTGATATACAGAATAATTGGAGCCTGGCTTAAATGATTAGATTTTTTAATAGCTAATACATGTACTAGTAGCTTGTTTTATATTGTGACTCTCTTAATAGTTCACTGAACTGATATGATTTATTATTTGTTTTTGTCTTTAGTATATTATGGCATCCATCAGGAGAAGGTAACACCATCCTGTCCATTGTGGACAGTCATATCCTGATGTGGGACTTAGAAACCAGCAGTAGCAGAGCCACAGTAAGGCTTTTACAGTCATATCAATAAATTGCACACTATCACTAACCTATGGATTCAGTGAATGCTACTTCCTTTTGCCAAACTCACTTCCTGACAATTTTTATTTTCTTAATTTACTGATATCTTATCTCACATTTGTAAAATGCTTACCATGAGCTTCAGAATTTGCCACACAGTTTTGATACATGTGTGTAAGTAGATGGAAGCATCAGTCTACTCAAAGCTCTGACCTTAACCAGATGTGACAGGTAAAATCAATTGGAACATCTGCAAGCCAGAGCAGAACACCAGTATTTTATATATTTTCTGGGTTTTTCAGCTTTCCAGTTCAATAGCGTTAGAAGGTAAAGGGCAACCCAAGTTCACATCGGGCAGATGGAATCCTCACCACAACTGTTCTCAGATTGCCACTTCCAATGACACTAGTATACGTGGATGGGATCTGAGGAGCAACAAGTGAGTGCAATATGCTGGTTATGAAAAACATTGACCAGGGCATGACTGCATGGTATTTTAAGTGTGTTGTTTATTTTGCAGTAACAGTATTGTGTTTAACTCGACAATAATTGACAGTCTCTGGATATTTGAAAATATTATAAAGGATATGATAATCTTGTATTTGGACATATCCTGTTTCCTATTATGAATAGGCTAAAATGATTTTGAATTGTGTATATTTTTGATTTAAAGGCAGGTGTATACAATAGAGAATGCTCACAGTCAACTAGTGAGAGAGCTGGACTTTAACCCAAACAAGCAGTATTACCTTGCTACCTGTGGGGATGACTGTAAGACAAAGTTCTGGGACATAAGGAATTCAAATGAACCCCTCAAGGTTTTATCAGATCATTCACATTGGTAAGAGTCATGCCTGAATTTGCAGGGGATTGAAGCAAAAAGTCTTTTTTTTTTTAATGCAATCTAGAAAATGTCTGAGGCCATTAAAAATCAGTTTTGATATTTCCATGTTTGATAATGGCCTTGGTCACTTTTGCTTATTAACTTCTACTTTGTGAAAACATTGTCAAGTGCATATACCGATATCTACCGGTACGTGTATGCCTAGGTATGATATCTTGCTCTCATTACTGTTTTTCAGGGTCTGGAGTGTGAGGTACAATCATTTCCATGACCAGCTGGTGCTGACCTCTAGTAGTGACAGTCGTGTGGTGCTAACTAATGCAATCTCCATATCGTCAGAGCCTTATGGTCATCTTGTGGAGGATGAAGATCTGAGTGATGGAGAAGAAGATGACAAAACTAAGTGAGTTATAAAGGAAAATGCTTCTTTATGATCAACAATTTGAGATGCGACAGCAAAACATCAAGATGCCTCATCTCAATATCTGAAACAAATTTTCATTGAAGCTGTTTTCAAAGAAAACTTCCTGTAAGTTATGCAGTTGAATTGAAATAAGATGATAATTAGAAGTTGTTTGTAGGTTTATATGTTTTAGTGAAAAAAAATCATCAGACTCTCAAATTTTAATTATGAATAGAATTTAAATCATAGAAATGTAAGTGTTTAGCTAAGTCTCAGATCTGTTCATTTTTTACAGAGAGAAAATGGAGGATGGTACAATATCTACATATGAGGAGCATGAGGACAGTGTGTATGCTGCAGAATGGTCAACTGCTGACCCCTGGGTATTTGCTTCACTTAGTTATGATGGACGCTTAGTGATAAACAGGGTGCCCAGGGCTGTCAAGTATAAGATATTATTATAAAGTACCCCAGCAGACATGTGCATTGATTTGAGAGAGGAGACAAACATAATTCAGGAATGGGGGATTTTTTCCATATATGGCAAATTATTATGGTAAATGTATGTAAATATATGATTATCTCAGTGTATAAAAAGGGGGAAAACACAAGGAAAAGGACTGGATGAATTTTGCCTGTGAAAAAAACTGGTGTGCTTGATAGAGCAGTCCAAGCATATATTAGGTGTTAACTTGTATCAGGTGGAGAGAAATTTGTGAAAATTAACCAATATTGTAATTGTTAGATTGAAGTATGATTCAAAAGATCTTAACTCCATGTACATTTTCAATTATAACTAGCTCATTAGAAATTGCAAACTGAATTTAATGCTGTATGAAAGTAAGAAAGATGAACATGCATGTTATATAACATTCCACCTGCATATTTATTGTCTGATGTCTAAAGTTTAATGGCAAAAGCAATGTGCAATATATGTGTGTCAAATTGCACATCCATTTGTGCTAATATCTGGTAAATATGAGAAATTATTGTTTTGATATTGTCAGTGATTAACTTTGGCTCTTAAAAGATATTGTTACATTGATTTTTAAAATGTGATGTGGGGGGGGGGGGGGATTCAGTCAAAATAAAATTCTTTATGAGAAAAGAGGACTCAAATCAGGATTTTTTTTATCTTTACACAAATTTTTACCATAACTGTTTTGTGCACCTATTATAAAAGTTATCCTGTCAGAGATTTTCCTGCCAAATCAAATTATCCTCAATAAAAAGGTGTTATCTTCAATCACAAAATATTGCTCGACCTGCCCCTGCATTTGGATTTGATGTTTTTTTTACATTTCTTATTTAATAAGTTTTGAATTACTGACCAGTTATCCACTTAGACCACCATTTCTTTCTGTACATTTCAAAGGTAAACATTTCGCCAGGAACTTTAATTTGGGGAGGTTTACCATTTATAGGATCTGCAGTGGGAAAGAGAAGTAGCTTTGCAGGAAATGAAGTCATAGAAAATATGACTTTGGGGCGTTTTTCAAGCACAGATAGTATACCTTTAATTTTTTTTTTTTTTTTTTTTTTTTTTTTTGCAATTTCTAGTGGACAGCAAGACTAGCAGAGTGTGATGTAGCTAAGATATCTGGAAAATTCCTGCTATAAAATTGGTTCCCCCTCTTTTTGAAAAATGTAATTTAGTTGCTTTTTTAAGCCCAAAATTTGCATCTTTATACAGGATCAACTTTAAGATAATCAGAGCATCAGAAAAGGTGGAGCCATTTGAATTTTAGTTTAGTGAAATCAATGGAAAAATTGAGTATAATTATTACAACTATTGGTTATTAGTAATTTGGTATTATCATTACATCTATTGAAGTAGTCACATTGGCGCATTTTTCCCCGTGACAATAAAGACAATTTAAAAGCAAAATCATTTCAATGATAAATGAAAGTATAGGTAGTGTTCATAACATTTTATTAAAGTTCCCGTGTTTTATTAGTGGTTCCATTGTGCTGACAGCTAGAAAACTTCTCTACCACAATAATCAAATGTGTATGTTTGAAGAAAAGGGAGGTATGTTTGCAAAGCATTCAAAATAATTTTTCTAAATCAAATACCGACTTCAAATTTGATTTTATAAAACAGGAATGAACACATTCACGTTTTTTTTAAACATTATTTTGAACTATTCGGCTTTGGACACTGCTTACAGAATCTAGGCTCTTGATTTGGCATTGGCTTGACCATGATTGTATGACAAGTAAGCATACAAACCACAACCAACAATGCAAAAGCATGCTATAAAAACATTAAGGATATAATATGGTTTATGTGTCATCTTTGAATACACAGCAGTAAGTCAAGGTCTGAAAGACAACAATAACTCAAACTCAGCACTGATATTACCCTGTCCTTTATTTGAACTGCAAGTGAATGAAGATCTGAGTGCAATACTGTTATGGAGAGTATGCCAGTTAAGTCTGGCAGTGATATGTTTGCATATACAATCCTTATGAAAATAATCAAATTGGGAACAAGATATGAGCAACATGTTCAAGTGAATCTCACCTATAACATTTTTATGTTTTGAGTTGACTACGAAAGTCAAAGAATACTTATCAATGCACCTATGAACATAAGTATTAAAATCGAATTAGTGTCGATTTCTGATCCTGGAGGAAGCAGGTCAAAAATGTTTTCCTTCTCTTTGATTTACATATGATAACCAGAAAAACAAGATTTTGGACTAGAACATTTTTTAAACCTGCAAGACCTAAATCGGATTTCAACCAACCTAGTTTTTAATTTTTTTTAATCTACAAATTCATGATGAAATCTATAAAGTGATTATCATGCAACTACATTTCTCTATGATCAATACAACAAAACACAAAACTTCGTTATATGCTACAGTTTGTAAAAATGAATGATCAATAAAATAATACTGGAATGATGCTGGATGATAATATCATAAATGTTTTCTATGACTGTAAAAACCTGGGATTTCACTTTCAAATATAGAAGGCTTTTTTATGTTCAAATGCTGTCACTTTGTACTAATACAAAAAAATTCATTTGTTCACCATTTTATACTGTATCTTAGCATAATTGAGAGCAATGCAACTTAACCTGCTACAACAATACTTGCAAGTTTTTAATTACAACAGTAGTTTGGGGTAAGACTTAAAATGTAATAATCTTCAGTTACATTAATAACAATAACATGCACTATTCTTTATGAGAGATGTTAACTCAAACTACTAATAAATATTTTTCTTTACAATATGTAAATGGTAAATGCTTAAGTCTAAAAGGCAATACAGATCTTAACTAAATTAAATTAAAAGTTACCAATTCATGGTTCATTTATAGAAGGTGAAATCCTTAGCAACATGTTTGGCTTAGTAGCAGAAAACACATTACTAAAATATGGTGTTAATTGTTGTTGTTATCAAATAACAATGAGGATAATAATAACTGCATGTGACCTTGTTCTACTAATAACTTGACTTAGCCCTTTATGCACCAGCTTTAACCTCTTAATGGAAACTGGTCATGAAAAAAAGTTATTTTTATATTACGTGAATTACATGAAAGCTTTATGCTTGACTAAGGAATCCAAGTAATATTGTGACCACTGATACTGTGTAAAACATGAATAAGAGCAATATATGCAATCAAAAACTACTGACTGCTTTAAGTAGAAGAGCATATGTGAGTATAAGTAAAGAGTCAACTCACTTCTGTATTCATGACTTGTCTGCATTTATACCAGAGGACAAGGCCGTACCTTGACAGCTGTGCATGGTCAACTAACATATTGCCCTTCTGCTTCAGCCTCATCTTTCAAATTTATTTTCTTAATAAAAATGCTCAGGTGTTGAGTAAAATGCACACCTGTGTTTGCAACTTAAAGATGCTAAATAAAAAACTCTCTATCCTGAAGCACCCTGTTTGAGGTAACAGTTGCATTCACTACAATAAAATATAAATATCCATTGAAATAAATCTAATATTTTCTCCTCTGCTCCCCTTGGTCTTCAGTCCTACAGCTAAAACAGGCATGCAACTCCTTACAAAATGACCTGTCCCAGTCACAAAATGCACTGTCTCAGTATATATATTTTTTGCCCTACATTTCTAGTGTCACATGTGCCTTGTCATCCCATATGCTGTCATCCCAGCTTGGGAAGCTCCTTTGTTTGTTCCCATTTGCAGTCCAATAACATGTTGTCCAGCTTTTAATTTTTCTTCCCCAAAGTTTCTCTTATTCATATCTGCTAATTTTACTCCAATGACTGGACCCTGGAAATCATGCTTCTGTGCCTTAAAAGAAAAATAAAATAACAATTTCAGATATCGCTGGCATTTTCAAGGCATTTTCAACGTTTCGGTTTAGGTTACATGCCATTCAAATTTTAAATGATCTCAAAATAGTTCAAGCTTAACTATGTACACAATTTATCACAGCATGCCAATGGGAAATTAGATGATGCAATTAACTGCTCATGTGGATGAATGATAAATAATTCATAATACAGTTCACCTCAAACCCAATCAATATCACAATGTGCAGTATATGTATCAAATTCCCTTAAGGAGGTGATATCAGACAAGAAAAACAAATGCTGGAAAGTCACTCTGTGCTATTCAAAGTAAGCAAAAAGAATGTCTTTCAACTTACCAATGATCCTAATATGTGAATGCAGTTTATTACCTAAAAATCAAAAGAAAATACATTAATTATGCAATTATCACCAATATTATCCAATTTAATAACAATTAACTTCAATTTATCAATGGCTTATCCCCTCAAGGTTGAAAATAACCCACAAGACATTTACTGAGCATGCGGTGGCAAAATCAATGGTGAATGTTTCTGTCGCCCTGAGTTTAAGTCTTCTGGAATTTACATCTATCATCCATATACCTATTATGTCCTTTCTGGTGCTGATTGGTAGGGTAGAGCCTGGGTAGGTGAAGGCAAATTGTTAAGAGTGATCTGAAGGTCAGGGTGATAAGCAAGAAAGGTTGGTAACAGAAGCTCCACAGCTCACTGACTGTAGAAAGCTAAGCAGAAGACTTAGGGCAGCAGAGCTGAATGCACTTAATGGGAATTTAATCTGACCATTGAACTTAAGAACCTTACAACCGTGTGGTCCTTCAATGAAAAAGAGAAAAAAAATCACACCATTCTAAAGTTTTCATTAACTTTGGTTGCTTGTGGTTTCCCAAAGGTTTCTTCCATTTGCTTCACTAATATCAATGAACTTCAGTGAGACTGACATTAATGTGACCTGTGGCACAAAAGTTTAGCCTGTGACCTTCAAATATGACAAGTGGGAAAATTTAATAATCATGCACACAAGACTAAAGACAGTAACATGGACTGTGAAAAGGTTTAATTTTGTCCTTCTGCTGTGTGTGTGTGGCAGTCACAAAATAGTATCCAAGCATCATTTAATGATTTTTTTTCACCTTTTGATGAACCAAAAGACATTTCTCATGCTGTTACATGTAGCTATGTAAAATCCACCCAAACAAACACAAAGAAAAAAAAAGAAAAAATCCTGATTGAAATCAGTTACTGAGGTAAAGATATATACACAAGCTTGTTAGCCAAGGTATATTACAATACCAGCTCAGCTACTTAATGTTACAGTCCAGCTGTTAAATTCATTTGATTAAAAGTATAAGTTACTTTTAGCCAGGAAACCAAATTGGGCAATGAAAAAAATATTGAACTTTTAACCCTGAAAAATGTTGGTATCATGTTTTTGCAGCGTGTGTATACAGGCTTGGTGGGAGGGGTGAGACAGGTCTGACGATTATTTTATTGGAAACTTAAAATCAAGTGAGTGTGTTTTTAAAACATGCAACATACCAGTCAAATTGCCCACATCATCTACCAGTAGAACTCGTGAGTCCACTTCTCCATGCCATCTAAAACTGTAGCCTCTACCAGGGCCACAGAAAAACTTTTCACTAGATATTCATTGATATTCTGTGTGAATTTCAGAACCAACCTCATCACCCAGGTGGCCAGTACTAAAACTGAGTTTGTTGGCCCACATCATTAATAAAATCTATACCCAATGTGTAGAATTTGGCTTTGGTTTGGGTTAAAGGACCTTGAAGCTTAATTAAATGTTTTTCTAGTTGATATATAATGCCCAGAAGCTTTTGCCAGTCTTGAAGAGAGCCATATTAGGGATTAAATAGCTAATTCCTTGGTTAAATCATGCATACAACAAGAATAGGGGATGTCTCTGTACAGTACAGTTAATAAAACTATGTTTAACTTAAAAACAAAAACAAGGCAGCAAAGCTGTCAAATGTACAGACAAAAAGCAGGAAATAACAAAATAGGCTACTGTCAATTCTGATGCAAAAGTTCATTATGTTAAACTGCAAATTCAACATCAAATTTTAATTATGCTCAACAGGTAATACCAATGTAAGTAAAATGTGAAACAAGCATAAGGCTTCAGGCCCATGGGAGTTCAAGTTCACACTTTGAAGATGTAAAACTTCCAGAAAAAGAAGTCAATTAGACTGCTTTTCCAACTCAGGCTGCATTTTAGTCCTATATTTCTTTTTTGAAAGTTTGGCAATCATAAGTAACATGGTTTTCCCATAATGGTCATCATGGCAGCAGCACCCAAAATTGTGTTTTCTTCTATTCTGATGCAATATTACATAATGGTTAACTGCATAATGACAATCAATTTTTGATAACAAAATATATGTATCATGGATTTTCAGAAAATGCCACTAGCCTGGGTCTTCAAGCCTGTGGAACTTCAAAGTCACACCTTGAAAATGCCAATATGTGAAAAATTAAATTTTCACAAAAAAACTGTTTAATTGGCAGATTGCATTGNTAAAAAAGGCTAATGGAGGTAGATGCACAATTTTCACAAATATCAGTAATTGCTCAAAATTTGAAAAATGTTCTTCAGTTACCTGGCATTATGTTTTCAAAAGAGGTCCAATTTACAATAGGTTTCAAGGGACAGTCAGGACTGTCAGGCTTGACAATTGTAAACTTCTTAAATTTATTTATGTGTTTACATGTTAAAGTGCAAACTTAACATAAGTAGGTAGTACCTCACCCCTCTCCCCTGTTATAATCACTATGCCCATTACACAACACTACCAGGATAGGGTGAATCACTTCAGCCCCAGAGCAGCAGTCTAACAATAGGGGAAATCATTACAGGTATCTGTGGAGTTCGGCTGAATAGGAACTGAAGAAATGGGCAATCACATAAGAATAAGTCCCCCACTGAGTGCAGGCTCACATTTCCTTCACCATAGGGCACTAGACTAGCTTTTTACTAAGTGTCCACTTGAAGCCATTTTTGACACTTATTCAAGCACGACCTCTGGGATATCTATATGACCCACCCATCTTTCTAATATTAAAAAAGAATACAAATGGACCCACATATGTATCAATTTCTCTTTTATATAATATTCTGGCTACCCTGTAGTTATATCTGAAGTCACTGAGTGTCTGACATTTATCAAGATTAAGGCCTTTTCCCATTTATTGATTTTACTTACAATATACATGTTTTTGCCCTCATATAAATCTTGTGTTTGAAAAACATCTACATCCTTCATACCAAGCTGTTTGCAAGCTGTGAGGAATAGTTCTATATTTTCCATCTGAAAAAAAAAAACATTTACAATCACTTAATACCATTTTATATTATAAAACAATCTGCACAACATCTGTATACCGAAACTCTGCAATGTATTATTCAGATATTTTTCAATAAATAATGGCCACTAAAGAAAAACTTGTCAGTTTGTTTCCTTAACAAGTCTTCTGAGACAGACAAAACATTGCTTGTAAATTACTCTTTGTACACAGTTACCTGTCAAGGGGAGTGTAGTTACTTTGGATTATTAAGATTAGGTATACAAATATGTTTAGCCCCCTCTGTGTACATATTGAAAAGATAGACAAAATTGTATCTTCTTTTAAGTGCTGATAAAATTCCAGACGTGGACAGCTTTGTTAAATCAATATGGTTGCATTATTAGCATACCTCTTGCCAAAATTGAACAGACAGCATAAACATTTTGAGAAATAACTCAAAGGATTTGAAATATCTAACTTAGGTGTGTTACAAATATTTAGCCGAATATTTTCTGAGTTGAAGAGACATTTGGACCAACAGCAATCAATAACATATCCCAGATACATAATGTGATCCATATTAAGGTAATCTATCAATATATATCTTACATTCAATTCATGATCACAACATTCTGACAATCTTCATTAAAACCTAAAAATTCTCCATCCAGAAAGGAGGATAAAAATGGCATAAATGTATGGAAACAAAAATCATGTCAAATTTCAATAATTTATCCTACTCATTGCATTTGTCAAATATCAATGGGGAAATGCAGTGCAACCTGGGTTTTTATTTTGTTCAGTCATCCTGTGTTTGGACACTGATACACAGACAGTACCAGTCAACCAAGGGAAGTGTAATCCTTCTGGGTGGTGACGGTATGTGAATGGGCAGTCCACAGACCAGTATTTTACCTGTTTGAATGCCAGCTTACTCCTGTTGATTTTCTTGACAATTCCTGGTGCAATTGCATTTACCAGCCTACAATAGAAAATATGCAGATCCATAACAGTGAGCATTCTACTGAGTTATATGCCTATTGATGAAATGGGCAGTGCAAGTGATGTGGATATTTACTTAACACTTTCAGTCTGTCAAACCAACAAGGTTTATATTTCACTAAGCTCCTCCTCAGGATGATGATGATGAGGAGGAGGAGGAGCAATTACTGCTTTCATACATCTATGTTTTTTTTTTTTTTTTTTTTTTGTAATCATAAACTGAGGTTACATTTTATACATGGACCACTTGCTGGCCATTACAACTAATTACAGTCTTCAAAATCAATGTTAAAATCTCAGTTTTTATCAGCTCTGCTGTACTAGATAGTCCCACTTCATTCCAAAGCACAGTGGTCACAGACTTTGAGACCCCTGGACCCTGTTTCACAAAAGAACATAAGTCAATAGTTGCTCTTTAATTTTATACCACTCTGACCCTGGATAAATCAGTAGTAGTCTACATAAATGAGTTACGTGGACCTCTTCCACAAAAAGTAAGAAATTGCTATTTGTTTTAAATGAATAGCTTCTAGGTTGCTATAGACTAAGACTGCAGCCAGGAACAAAGCAGACTTGATTTTTTAGCCTTGATGTTAAGGACAACTACTCTTTTGTGAAGTGGAGCTTGTGGACTAAAGACTGATGACTGGACCACTGTGAACAAGTGTGTTCAACTTGAAAAGACAGCTTATGTGGGGCACAATGACAGAGGACTTGATGTAACATTGACTCCCACTTGACCCAACGAACAAGTTATCAAGAATGCCACCTTGGACATTCATCAATCTTTGCCCAGTTGGCAGGCATGCTTTTTTATATTCACACTACTAAAATTTGACAATCTTAAATTTCTATAACTTTGTTGCTACTCTATTAGTTATTTTTATTTATTTAACTTAATTAAATAAGGGTAAAGAATGGTAAATCTATAACTTATCTTCCCCATGGCCCTCATGAGGTTGGTAAAAAAATATTTAAAACTACCAAAACAAATTAAAAAGTACTTACCAAATAAACAGCAATCACAAAAACATTCCCCACTTCCACTAAAGAATACACACAATAAACTTCCTTTTAACAGTTTTCTCAAAGGTAAAAAGCATAACCTAAAAGAAAAGAAATAAAACTCCTTACTCGCATAATGCCTCTCCATCTTTCAACACCTGCATCACCTCAAACTGGTCCTTGTAAGACATCCCATTCTCCAACAGGGGTCTCCCTGTCACTGCCTCTATCCAGGCTAGAGCCTCCAATGCCTGGTCCATGTCAAACTTTGCTTGCGCCTAAAATACAGACAATTATATTATTGATTTCATTAAAAAAGACAACTTTCAATATATGCACCTACGTATATCTTAAATATCTCTGACTATGTCTCAAACAAAAATTTTTACTTTCAGTGGAAGTAGACAATGTGTTAGCTACAGTTTCAAGTCCTTTTGAGTTTTTTCTCAAAAGAATTATTTAAATAATATCCCCTAACAGACCTAAAGCCAAAAAAGAATCAACGACTTTCCTATATTTTCTGTGTGAAACCATAAATAAATTTAAAACTATTTATTTGCAACAACAGCAACAACAATAATAATATTCAGTCATTCAATTGAAAAACATGGCAGTAAACTCCATAGATTACTTTATACTTTTTTCAGTAAAATAATGACACTTATTTTTATTATTCAAATCAGCAAAAATGCTGGAAGGTATGTCTACATACAATCTCAAGTCAAAATACAGTAGCTTTATCAGAAGACTTTGTGTTTTCTGAATGTTTCTGTCATGTTTACAACACAGGCAATAAATCAATCATCTACCAGTGGCATTAACCTGGTGACTAACTGGCCAGGTAGAGAATTAATTAGACATAATAGAAGCAAATCAAATTGTCCACTTTTGGTGTGAGTGTGAAAGTAGACCAAAAGTTTTCTTTGCTGATAATGTTATTTGAAGGTGTGTGTGTGTGCGTGTGAGAGAGAGAGAGAGAGAGAAAGAGAGAGAGAGAGAGAGAGAGAGAGAGAGAGAGAGAGAGAGAGAGAGAGAGAGAAATCAATTTCAGTAAGGGTGGTTTAATAGACCAACAAGATACTATGCACTCTTTGACTCTGTCAACACATTACAGCATTATGTTCCACTACAGCAGTCTCTATTCTGGGGCACTTAACCCTGATTCCACAGGCTTTGTCACTGACTGCATACTACTGAAAGGTCCTTTCACAATGAAAGAGGTGAATCTAAATTTTATGCTCTAACACACCCATGATCATAGGTACGTTCAGATGGATGTGAAAATGAAACATAAAAACTCATGAAAGTAAAATCCTTTGTCACATTGAAATTGAACTAAATGAATATA